AAATGGTTCACAGCTGTTCACTTTATACTAAGGTTCACTTTTACAGGTTACTAACGTTTATAGATCATTAATAAATGGTTTACAGTTGTTCACTTTACATTAAGGTTCACTTTTACAGGTTACTAACATTTGTAATTTATTAATACATGGTTCACAGGTGTTCGCTTTACATTAAGGGTTACTTTCAGAGGTTACTAACGTTTATAGATCATTAATAAATGGTTCATTACATTAAGGTTCACAGGTAATATTGGAATTAACATTTTCAATATTAATATCTCATCAAGTCATGGGTGTGCTTTTATTATTTTTCCCCGAAATAAAAATCAAGATGATAATTTCATCTTGATAAACAAAATATATCGGTTTCTAATTATTGCTTTGGATAGGCATTTATTAACTTTTGCGGAGAATCATGGCTAAGGAACAGAGTAGATTCTGGTAAGAAACATTGTAAGAAAAGTGACACGAGTCATGAGATATAAATGAGAAAACCATAAATACAACACCATTCAGTCTTGCTAAAATAGTAAATTTTTGCTGCATCATGAATAAAATCAGGAATCTGGTTTTGAGTGAAATAAGTATTAATAAATATATTTGTTAAGTATTTATAACGTGAGTTAAAAATGGCTCACAATTTGGCAGGTATTGCAATAAAATCCCCCTTTTACTCATGCATTTATAACTGCTTATCAATGATTTATAATGCATTTGTAAGTGAGTTATTAGTAATTTATTAACACCTTTATAAACCCTTTATAAAGGGAACCTTAATGTAAGATGTTACCGAAAACATTAATATGAAAAGCCCAAATTTTATATTTTATTAAAAATATATACTATGTACAGGCATGCAATGCGGCAATCCATTAAGCCACGTGAAGAGTTTATAAAGTTTTTCTACTGGGGAGAAATCATGTGAAACTTGCATTTTCCATTCATATTCTGGACTCATCTGTTTTCCTGTGCATAATATATTTTATGAATAAACTGTGTACCAGATTTGCTCTTTTTATATTACCGTCTTCGTATATTAGCCTACCTTAAGTGTTTTCTATAATGGCTTTCTATGAGGGAGAAAAAGTTTAATGTGCATTAGCATGTTGTGTTCATGGCTATTCTGCTTTAGTAATAGTAAAATTGGGTTATTAATATTAAAATTGTTATTTGTATTAAAAGTATTTATTAATACCGAATTTGGGCCTCCAATGTCACTGTTTTAGTACATTAAGCCACGTAATTTTAAAATGTTCCAAAACCTTGCCTTGAATGAAGCACTGACTGTATTTCTTTATTCTTGAGTCCAAGTTCATAATAAAACTATATGAAATGCTACATTGTGAACGTACGAATTTTGTCTGGATCTAGTCCACTTGCAAACTTCCCAGACATATATTGTGTATGACCAGATGGAAACAGAAAAATGGGCAAATTTAATATACATTTGTTCCCATTTTCTGATTCCTTTTATCAGTTGGCCTAAACCCGCTTGCCAGACTTCTTTCTGTGGATTACAGACTTTTCTTGCAGGCAAATTAATACAATCAGTTTGTAGAAACACTTCCATTATTGTGATGTTATGCACCTTGTATCTGTGTTTTATAAGAACATGAGAACACTCTGAATGAATCTGTCTTTTCTTACTGAGAATCTCAGATCATGCACAGCACACAGAAATGAATGTTTTTATTATGATCAAAACAATAAAGAATATAAACATAGCTTGTAGCACAATAAACACTCTGCTTGAATGTATTTCCCAGTCACTATGTTTAGGGTTTTGGAGTTTTTAGGACCTTCATGTGTCATCAAATCTTCTTTCTAATGTCTTCATGTCTAATACTGGGTTACTGAACCGCTAAACCCATAAACAGATCAAGCGTTAGATAACAGATAACGTAATTACAGGGGGCTAATTTCTGAACCTAACTGTATACAGTAGAAAGCGTGAAGCATTCACTGATTTAGAATGAATTGGTGCACAATGTAGAGGGATAAATGTCCTGGTCCAGAAGGTGGAAATTACTGCCACCCTTTGCTGTTATGAGATTCATTGCACAGTTGAGTAACCATGTGTGCCACCAACAATTTCCAGACTCTCTGATTCTCACTACAGGTCCACACATGTGTGGCTATGTCTGAGCTCTCCATCCCCAGAGGGTGAATAAAGCAGATGGGTTCTAAATGCAAAATTTCATTTTGTATCATTAGTAGGTTAGTTCACCCCTCATTGGCTCACCATCTGCCATCATCTCAGGCTTTTCAACCCTCCACAATGCTGCAGTTGAGTAAGAAACGCAGAAGTTTGATCTTTGATGCCTCTCAAAGACACCACCGGTTTCTGCAACAGCGCTGCTGCATGCTTATTGCATTGATATGGCATTCTACTAGAAATAACTGGTGAACAGTTTACATGTTTAATGTTATTCATGAATTAAATTTTTTTTTTTCCCATCTCATTTGGATTGGCCCCTATGGTATGTAAGAAATTGAATTAATGAATTAGCATAATTTTGATCATTTATTAAGTACCAATGTTAATAGTTTTGTGACCTGAATAGACTGGCGTGTTTTGTTCCAACCTTTCTGAATGGTTTATCTTGACTTTATTATTATTATTTAATAATTTGTATAAATATTGACACAGAATGTATTTGACAAAGCACTAGGTTCATAAAACAATGTGTATGTCTATTTGATCTCATTCTTGTCCAGGGCTGTGTTTCCTAAAAGCATTGTAACCAATGGCACAAATGATCTCAACCACCTTCGTAGGCTTACAATGTTTTTGGGAAATGCACCCTAGGTCGGTGTCAAGCTTCATTATCTGACTCTAATCTTTGGCTCATTGAACTATGAAGCTGCTGTGACTCTCTCGCTAAGGACCGGGATCAAACCCAGAGATATAAACGCCTCTACATGACATGAAGTTACAGTTACAGTTTTGGCTAATGATTAATTAATCAATCTGATTTCTGTGTTGCATTACCAAACAGAACTACAAAAATAATGATTGTTTTCAAACATTCTTCCTGAACACAAAGGCTGGTTGTCAGGTGTTTTTAAAAAAATATATTTTTTTATGTTTACACATTTGGCAGATGCATTCTCCTAAAGTGACTTGAATCGAATCGAACCCATGACCTTGGTACTGGTAAATTATTCTGATCATTCAAGATCACTCTGAAAGTGACATTGTTCTTTTGTGTCATTATCGTTATAGCTGTAGTGTGGACCCTAGACAGATGTTTCTTACTACCAGCATTCTGATTTCATTTCATACACTATGAAGCATCAACGATGGTTGATGTGAACATCAGCAGTGCTGGAGATGACAGCTCCTGTTGCAGTTCTGCCTATTTTCATTGTCATCCTTAATCAATGATTATCATCTTGTCTGAAGACTTCTTGATCTGTGAATGCTTTAACATCTAATTACAGACTACTAAATTATCGTTGTATAGGAGCTAACTTCTGTGCATAGCGTTCCTTTAGGTTTCCCCGCAAGGGTATTTTATTTCGGGAGACAGTCGGCTAAGAAGATTATAAGACCAGTTTTCAATTTATCTCCCACCCCCAGACTCTACTTATTGACTGACTTCCTTATCACTGTTTACCAGAATCCAGAAAATGACTGGCATCGTCATCCCAATCTGACACTTTGGAAACTGCTGTTTTTCGAAGAGTAAATTAGTTCAGGCCTTTGTCAACCCAAAACACATGTGCTGTTGTGCATTGCTTTAGCATTGTTCTATCCAGTTATGAAATATGAAAATGTATAAAGAGAAGTAGTTCCAGGTCAGAGATGTTGTGTGGGCAAAAATACTCTGATATATTCACATGCTTATAAATACTTATTACTGGTGTGCATAATTAAATCACACACAGAAGCATGCACACACACACACACACACACACACACACACACACTCTCTCCCTCTCTCTCTCACACACACACACACACACTCTCTCCCTCTCTCTCTCACACACACACACACACACTCTCTCCCTCTCTCTCTCACACATTTTAGCATAGTTCTATCCAGTTATGAAATATGAAAATGTATAAAGAGAAGTAGTTCCAGGTCAGAGATGTTGTGTGGGCAAAAATACTCTGATATATTCACATGTTTATAAATACTTATTACTGGTGTGCATAATTAAATCACACACAGAAGCATGCACACACACACACACACACTCTCTCACAGACACACACACACACTCTCTCTAGATAAATTATTTGCAAAAAGTAATACAAGTGAGAGTGACAGTCATCTGATAAAACACATGATCTCTCACACACATGCAAAAAATTAAAAACAAAATAAAGAATAATAGAAAATGGATGAGTGTTATATAAATGCTACTGATGTAATGTTGTTGTATTTATTTATTTATTCAGTCATCCTGATATCTAGATAGCAGAGTGTCCAGTGACTGTTAGAATGTCAGTATCTCATAATTAAATGAAAGCAAATGTGCTGAGATTTCTGCCAACTTTGCTAAAACTTATTTTACACCATAGTAGCTCTTTTAAAAACAAAAATTAAAAACAAACAATTAAAAAATAATTAAAAAACAAACCATTAAAAAAAAAAAATCATGTCTATGCATTGGTCAATGCTGATGATCTAAAAAGGAATCCGCTTGGCCAATACATCAGCCTGATGTGACAAGCACAAAGTTATTTTATCCAGCAAATTAATTTAATAACAAGAGACTGTGCTTTACAATTGTAACATCCTGCAACATACTGCAAGGTACACCTACTTGTATTTTGGTGTACTTTGGTCTGCAATTCCACATTCTCAGACTTATTAAAATAAAACAGATTACAAATAAAATAGATGAATGAATAAATGATTAGCAAAAAGTAATTGCAGTGAGTGGGGCAGTGTCAGTCATCTGATAAAACACATGAGCTGTGTCACGCAAAGACCAATTGAAAAAAAACAAGAAGAAGAAGTCATATACAAAGCATATAAAAAGCGTTGAGAAGAGAATGTGCCCAGTGTCTGGGATCTCAGTGGTGGAGATGTTGTGTTCGGGGAGGGTCGACTTTGAGCTGACATTGAGAGTGACGGTCTGTGCTTCTTAACATCTCTGGACGCTCATGGTAGACGGAGCTGCTCGTGTCTCTGGCTCTTTCCCCCTGTCCTTCAGCACCACTGAATTGGACAGCACCAGGCAACCAGACCCTCCTTCACCTTACCCCTCAGGATAGCTGTTTGCTTCACTTGACTTCATGGAAACATTTTGCACGGGTTTGGAAAAGTAAAATTCCAAGTGTCTGATTTGGAGAGGAACCAACGGATACGCCCCGCCACAACCAAACTGGCAGGAAAACTGTTCCAGTGTAAGTAGATCACATTTGACTTATATAAAACAAGAACGCGTTTGTCTTCGTAGTTTTAATATGCACGGGAAAGGCTCCTGCAAAGTTGTTTGAAAGTTAAACATCTCAAACGAACTGTTTTAACGCTGGACTTCAGTGAAACGCGATGTTTGTGCGCGCTTTTCAGACTCAACAGTCTACAACACTATTGTGCATGCTAGTGGGATTTAATTATGTTGCGTTTTTATCGATATGTTAGTCTCGCACTCGTCAAGCATTCATTTATCCTGCTAAAAAGCTTCCGAAATACTCTGCATGTTGACAGGTTTGCGCGACTTTTTGATCCCGCATTGCTCACTGACGGCGCGCGCAAAGGCTTCGAGCGCTCGGACCTCTGCTGATTTTACCTAATAACCTGACGAGCTTATTCGAACTGTCTGACATAACCAAAATGAGATCTATGATTTGGATCCGAGAGAAAATTATCTAAACTTCACCCGTTGAATAATTTAAATAGAGTAAGAAATGCAAATGCTTTGCCATTCAGCAAACTATTCTGCAATAACCCACAGGCACCCTTAAAGTTTTAGACAACAGAAATGTACAAAATCGGTTCGTTCAGTTATTTAAAATAAAGCAATGTGGACAGACGCGTTTTGCCTGCGCTTTTTATGCCGCGCGCCCATCACACGTGCGCCAATTAGTATTTTATTTTGTTGGATATTTGTATTTTGTTTTATTTAAAAAAAATGTATTAGGTTATTATTGTGTTGATGGATTGACATCGAATGCATTTGACGAGCATCAAGCACAGGTGAAATAATGTGTACATCTAAACTCGCTTTGTCTCAATGGTTTCCAGGTCAGTGTCAAGCTTCTTTGGCGTTGTTTGACTCTAGTCGTGGGTTACCCGAACCGCGAAGCTGCTGTCTACGTGGACCGGTGCTGAACTCTCCCGTCCCACTGCCAGGACCAAACCCAGAGACATGGCCACGAACGGCACGAAAGCATCCGATGGACACGTTTTAACAGAGCTGAACGAAGCGCCCACCGCCAATGACAAACCAAAAACTCTGGTGGTGAAAGTTCAGACGAAAAAGGAACTTCCCGACAGAGAAACGTGGCAGGGAAAATTTGACTTTCTTCTGTCTTGTGTTGGCTATGCCATTGGACTTGGCAATGTCTGGAGATTTCCCTATCTATGTGGAAAAAACGGAGGAGGTAAAGAAACATCCCGGTTGTTTTTACCATGCATTTCCCCCTCTTAATAAAAGGATAAATAAATACATACATGTATAAATAAATACGATTTCGTAATGAACAAAAATCACTCTGCAGATTGAAAAAGATACAAAATAGACTACGCTTTTTGTCCAGGATACGCGCGAAGTGCGCAATCACTGGAAGCGCAGTGGAAGCGTGGATTTTAAAATCGGACACATATTTGAATATGTCTCATCATGTTACTCTTCTGTCTGTATAGGGGCGTTCTTGATTCCTTACTTTTTGACCCTCATATTTGCTGGGGTCCCGTTGTTCCTTCTGGAAACATCCCTCGGTCAGTACACGTCCATTGGGGGTCTTGGAGTGTGGAAACTGGCCCCTATGTTCAAAGGTAATCAAGAACCACAAATAACCCTCAGATTAATTACTCCATGCTCTTTTTTAGAAGCATGTGAATTATGGTGTCACTGCATTATAGCGCAGTCGTACTGTGTCCTTGCCAAAAAATGATCTGAAATATGGAGTTATTTTAGCGCACATGTCTCCGTAGGTGTTGGCCTGGCAGCAGCAGTCCTGTCGTTCTGGCTTAACATTTACTACATAGTCATAATCGCTTGGGCAATTTACTACCTGTATAACTCATTCACCACAGTAAGTACACATTTTCCACTTTAGGTATCAAATGTGAAATTGCTAAAATGCCAGTGACTGTTGCCTAGATTCTTGAAGCACTGTCTCAGGGATTGTCCTGTTTGAAATGTCCTGTTTCAGGAGCTCCCCTGGAAATCTTGCGACAACCCTTGGAATACAGACAAATGTTTCTCAAACTACAGCATGGCAAACACCGCCAATATGACGAGCGCCGTCCAGGAGTTCTGGGAGTAAGGGCAGACTGTTTTTTTTTTGTTTTGTTCGAAACACTCTGGAATTTCGTATTCTAGCAACATACAAACACATTCCTTTTGTCCTCGGCTGTGTAAAAGAACCACTGTTGTTTCACAAAAATGCGGCTATTGTGCTATTTTTGGCAAACAACCCTAGCTGAATGCTTTGCATCGGCAATTAGACCGGCTCTATTTCAAACTGTTTGTGAGTTACATGAGCTGACAGATATTCTACGTTGTCTAATAATATTCTACGTAAATTCTACATCTACGTTCTCTAATAATGTTTGTTCCCCTTTCTCACTCAGACGTAACATGCATCAACTGACTGAGGGTTTGGATACGCCAGGAGAGATAAGACTGCCACTAGCAATAACACTGGCCATTGCCTGGGTTCTGGTCTATTTTTGTATCTGGAAGGGCGTAGGCTGGACTGGAAAGGTAAGAATGTCCTTGCACGTCACAATATGACATTCGGCCATGCTATTTGTTTTCAACAAATTCAGAAATTCAATAAAGCTCTGAATATTCAAAATCAAGGCTTTGGGATCAGAATCTCCTAAATAATGAAAGTCTGTCATGCTTTCACAGAGCTTCCCAATTGTTGTTTTTCAGATAGAATCACGGCGCAGTGTCGCATAATATCAAAGCAGACGTGCATTTTTTTTTTCTTGAGGCTGTTGATATGTCTTTCAGGTGGTATATTTCTCAGCGACATACCCGTACTTCATGCTGTTTATTCTGTTCATCCGTGGAGTGACGCTGCCTGGGGCGAAAGAGGGCATTTTGTTCTATATCACGCCTGAGTTCAGCAAGCTGAAAGAATCAGAGGTAGAGCGCTTTGTAATTATCATACGGTAATAGATGTGTTTGCAGGCGTATAATTTGGTGAATTTCTACCATGTCTCGTCTTTTCTCGTAGGTGTGGCTTGATGCAGCCACTCAGATCTTCTTCTCTTACGGTCTGGGCCTGGGCTCTCTGATCGCCCTTGGGAGCTACAACCCTTTCAACAATAATGTTTACAAGTATGCAGCAACTGTAAGATTTATTAAAGGGCGTTCAAATGTTACCCTTAATATGCATCGTTAATCAGTCACATGCGTGAAAATTTTGTATTTCAAAACAGCCAAGCGTTTTTGCCTACAAAAAAATGCTTCCTCGTCACTCTCAATACATCACATAGAGTAGATAATAGGATAAATAATGATGGATCACTAAACAATTACGTGCTCTCGTCTGCTTCTCAGAGATTCTATCATCGTCTGCTGCATCAATTCCTTCACCAGTATGTTCGCTGGATTCGTCATTTTCTCTATCGTAGGTTTCATGGCCCACATCACACAGCGGCCCATAGCAGACGTGGCTGCATCAGGTAATTATGATGGATTTCAGTCTGATCACTGGATGAAGACCTACTGCTATACTTTGTGCAATCTCTTAAATTTGTGACACAGACAGGTGGCTACATCAATCATCAAAGCTGCTACCACAGTAATTATTTAAAAAAAAAATCATAATCATCTATTTTAGGGTTTTTGGTAACAGGGTTGCTAATATTACAAATCTCAGATAACATAAGTTGTAAATAAATAAAACAAAAATCAAATAATATTTGATTTGAGGTTTACAATATGTGCTATGCATAAAAGTGACCAACACTGAAATTAGACATTAGAGCTTTATTGTTCAAATAACATATTGCATTTATTTGTGTCTATGCCATAATACAGATATTCTAAAGCTAAGTAAACCTGTTTTGATCTCAGGGCCGGGGCTGGCATTCTTAGCCTACCCAGAGGCGGTCACACAGCTGCCCATCTCACCGCTCTGGGCAATCCTGTTTTTCTCCATGTTGCTGATGCTTGGCATTGACAGTCAGGTAAAGAGCATGTTTCAAACATGCATGCGTGTGTCTTCAGGCATCCATATTTGTGTAGTAATAGTATGTCGATTCAGGTTTTAAATATACGGCTGAATTCAGAATAGCATATACAGCGGCATGCCATTCCAAATTCAGCCAGTATTTCTGACTTGAATACAACCAGTCCATTTAGATATCCTTTTAGTGTTTGTCTTTTAATTATCATATATATCTTTCGAAATAAATGCTTTTTTATGCTGTGTAGTTCTGTACGGTGGAGGGCTTCATCACTGCTCTCGTTGACGAGTTCCCCCGCTTGCTACGAGGAAGACGAGAGATCTTTATCGCTGTTGTCTGCCTCGTGTCTTATTTGATTGGCCTGTCAAACATCACACAGGTAAATGCACACATACTCCTCATCTTTCTATGGATTTCACATCACCCCATGAAAAGAGATGGAGGCTGATCACGATTTTATTCTAAAGCTCTGTATGTAATGGAATATATGGTAAAGATACATACAAAGAGTGGAATGAGAGCTCTTGTAGACTCACCTCAGAGGACAGAAACGTTTGAGTGTTTTTGCTGGGATATGTAATGACTATGGAGTGTTCAACCACTATATAACCTCACACTGTTATATAAAAGCTAGAGAAGACTTGGACACTGCAGGAGAAAAAAAATGAATTCCAACTATTACTTATCAGATAATACAGTAAATAAATACAAATAAAAGTAAATAGACTATTGTATTTGATTTGTTTTCCTTTCTGCGGAAGCAGTTTAACTTAGAAATATTTCACATCACAGAAGTAAAACATAATTTCATCTTGACCTCAATAAAGAGCACAAGTGCTTGTGGTAATACAGCAAATCACGGAGATGCTCACAACCATTTGAACCATTGGCTATGCAATTATGTATAATCCTAACCCAAATACTACATACTTTTCAGGCCAATCTTGTGACTCACAGCAGGGAAGAGAAAGCTAGTTTCGCTAATGCTCATTGCTGCTACCATGTCTTTAAACCCAAACACAGCTAATGAGATGAAAGAGCTGGTTTTCTAAACCAATGTAAATTAATCACATCTCTCGCTAATCATGGCAATTCTTTTCTCGACAGGGTGGCCTCTATGTGTTCAAACTGTTTGACTACTATTCTGCCAGTGGAATGTGTCTGCTGTTCCTGGTGTTCTTTGAATGCATCTCCATATCCTGGTTCTATGGTAAATATGCAACTTTGTCTAATAATTCAGTAAATTTCCTTTCCAATTTCCAAGCAGATATTAAGTTGCTGAGAAGTTTATGTTGCCTGCCGTGTCCTGTGGCGTGACATTAAGCATGCATTTCAAACAAAATATTTAAAAAAGAAATTGCATGCCGTATTTATGACCTCATATTAATTAAATTAATACATGCAACATTTTATTTCACACCACATGATCATTTAAAGTGAATTAGTAAAATCAATGAGGTGAAAAAGAAAGCTGATGCTTCGCTTATAGATTTTGTAGGTATTAATTCATTCGCTTTTTATTCTTCACATCCAGACATAACGCATAACGCATGCTAATTATTATCAAAGATCTTTATAATTCATGCTAATCTCGCTGTCAGACTCATTTCTACACTCAGTTGATCTGAATGAATATGAACCTGTGGGATTTTAATTGTTGTGCATGGCAGACTTGATTATGCAAACTACTGCACGATTCTCTATTAGCATTTATGAAGGGGCGCACATGCAGCAGACCTCCACTCGGCAATAATCCTTGGCGAACCGCTCGTGCATTGTTTTGCAGTAGTGTATGACCCTCCCCTTGATTTTTATTCTGTACCGCAGGTGTCAATAAATTCTACGGCAATATTGAGGAGATGATTGGATACAAACCCTGCATTTGGTGGAAGCTGTGCTGGGTCGCATTCACCCCTCTGATTGTGGGGGTAGGCGGTTTTATGGTGTCTTTATGTACTGGAAGCATTCCTAAGGTGGAAACACAGGCTGACTATTTGTTCCTTCTGTCATAGGGTGTGTTCCTCTTCAGCGCCTTTCAGATGGTCCCGCTTAAAATGAAGAATTACGTGTTCCCAAATTGGGGGCAAGGTGTAGGCTGGTGCATGGCCCTGTCGTCCATGGTTCTTATCCCAGGATACATGGGCTACATGTTCCTCACCCTGAAGGGCTCATATAAAGAGGTAACGCTTGTATTTTCCTCACAGCCTCAGGTGCGTCTGTCAGGGAACATGAAAGTATCTCCACTGACGACAGAGTAATTGATTTAGATTGTGTGCATTATTAATGCAGATGTTTCAGCATGGGGTGAAGCATGCACTGTTCCTATTTCGTGGCCATTGGATTCATTCTAATTGCATCAATTAGTCTTCAGTTCTTGCCATTTGAGCATGCAATCAGTGACTTGGACTGATTGAATGAATTAGACAGGAGTTTTTTTCACTAGAGTATTTTTCGCCGCACGAAGCGTACCTCTCTATCTCTGAATCATGTTTCTGAGACTAGTAATTAGGAACAAAGAGCCCCAGTCCCAATTCAGCGTGACTAGCGTGGATGTAGCTTGTAATAATCCCTGACAGACTTGAATCACAGGTTCCCAGCAGGGACGCAAAAGTTTGGATTTGGTTTCGATTGCATCTTGATTTCCTAATTGTATCAATCAAGGGCTGTGATTTGTGCTTTCATGCTTTTATACTTTCTTTGCTCAGCAAGAATAGTTTGTCTGAGCTGGAATGGCAGCTGATGATTTTCCTTCCCTTTCGCAGCGCCTTCGGATAATGACTCAGCCCATGACGGTGGTTCGGACTCAAGAGAACGGGCCAGAACAGCAACCTGAAAACCCCACTCCAGCCAATGACGAGGCCTACATCTAACCGCCCTCCCCCTGCTTCACCCTGTATGATCAAAGGTCAACGTTCAGAGAGAGAATAAAAGAGTAATCACGGTTGATCACAACCAAGGACTTCCATGTCTAGAGTATATTCACCTACCTCCAAGGGAAACCCAACCTGATTACAGTTTGAATTGTTTTGGTACATATATACATAGGGTCCACAAAATCTGTCCAGCGATGTTCTAGGGTTAATCTATATTTCATATGCAACATATTAGTCTTTCTAAAAAAGAAAAAGAAAAAGAAGAAGAAGAAGAAAGGGTGACGGTGTAACCAGAGGATATAATTTAAATGATAATTCAAGATTTGGCATCCCAATGTAATTTCAACACCACCGTGTTAATTTGATATTACATGTAATTAATGTATTAAAAATGCAGTTGTAGGTTAGAATCGAATTGTATCTGATTGTATCTGAAAAAAAAAAATATATATATATATGTATATATATATATATACACATTTATACATCTATATAAAAGCAGGGAGCGAGAATATGGGAGCGTGCAACGGGGCAAGATGAACCTTGGATACGGTTACGTAGCCAGACGACACTTTTCAAGACTCTACCGTTTCAAATAGCCCTTCTCCCGTTTAGCCCTCGGGCAAACCCTGAAAAGCACAAGACCAGTATGGATTTGGTTTACAAACGCCCCAGGCAGCGATGAATTACCAGCCGCGGGTGCCAATTGACGTCAAAAAAGACTGTTACTATTTTTTTCCTTTTTTTATTTTCTAAGACAAAATAACTTTGTATGTGTTTTTTAGGATCATTTTAGTACACGTTTTCTATGTAAGAGTAAGAAGGACCAAATTCATGTTTATGCTACTGACAGATCTGAAAAACTGTTTTACGTCGCACCGTATCACTGCACAGGGTCCGAAAAGTCATTTTTGGGGGCAGACGTACCCCGTGAAACCACTGTTAATCCTGCTCACCACATTTGCATGCCACTGCTCAGGAAAAATGGCGAAAGTGACCAAAATTTGCTCTCCTGGATCAAAAACGATTATAGCTGTGAGCAACCTTCAGCAAATAATCACTTCTGAGCAAAAGCTATAGTCTGTTGCCATGGTTTCTAGGGTCGTTTTGTCAGACATCATTGACAAACCAGCACTCTGTGTCAAAAAACTGAGCCGTTGTTCGAATGAAAATATGTCAAGGAGAAATTATGCTGTTTTCTTTTTAAATCTACAGACTAGATGGGCAATAAATAATTGACCTGAAATCATATAAAGGGATATACGTGTGCGTGTGTGTGTGTGTCTGTGTGAGAGACAGAGAGAAATGACTGTTTTATTTCCACTGTTTTATTTTTTAAAATGCCACTGGTGAAAAGCACAGAGCTTTAAGTTGACAAGCCACAAAGGTATCCGAAAAAGAGCACTGCTAGTTTGCTTCTGTGGCAGCTACATGTGACAGAGATCTGGATTAATTAGTCGATTTATTCTCTGCAAGACGTCTGATGAAAAAATGTGCAATCAATAAGAGTTTTTCGTGAAATTGTATAAATTTACCATTCATCAGATTTCTCTCTGAAACAATGTTGTAAAACTGTACCGTGTAAAAGTACATGTGAATGTCCGTTTTGAGGTTTTTGTCTTGTTGATGAACCTTATATTATTTGCTGTTTACTGCAATAATGCATCGATCTCAGAAACTATATAAAGCACATATCTTTCTGAAATGTAAAAAAAGAATAGTAATAATAACAAATGAATAACATTGATGGAAGATTATAAGAGAATAGATAATATGTCTAGTCAAAGAAAATATTGTTTTGTATATTTCTAACTGTTTGGGCCTAATGTAAAGTATTGATATGTAAAAAAAAATATATATAAATATATATAATAAATGTCTTTAGATGGTGTTATATAAAAGCATGATTGCCATGTGTTATCTGATTAAAAAAAATAAAGTACTATAGATTATAATGTGTGCCGTCTCGTGTCAATAATTATTTGGTGCTTGTCAAAATGTGATATTACATTTGGCCAGAATAAAGGTGCTTGAATCTAAGACTGTGCGCTTAAATACAGACATATTTTTAGATTAAAAAAAAACAACCTCTGATAGACATTTAAGTGGAGACAGCATTATTAAAAATCAGCAGTTTATTATTATTTTTATTATTCTTTAAAGGGGTCATATGATGCGATTTCAAGTTTTCCTTTCTCTTTGGATTGTTACAAGCTGATTGTGCGTGGTATAACATTGCTCACACTTTACAGTCTGGGAGATTATGCACAGGAGACAAGGAAGCTTACACATACTGGTTTCCTTGGACCTATTCTTGGATTAATAGATGTCCTGATGGATTCTGTCCAAACAGGATAATTAATCTCCTTCAGCGATTAACCCTTTAATAGTCCCAATGGAGCTCCATCATTAAACTAGTTCTGATTGTCAAATCGAACAAATAAACAAATTATTTATTTACCATCTCTGATGATAAAACTCAATTATTGAAAGCACGCTAACAGCAAAAAACAGCAATCACAAATGTAATTTTATTGGAAAGCTGTTCCTCATTTATTTGATATCTAACTGATATCCATGTGATCAAGCCCAGAGGCTACATTGTAGATTTCCATATTCTGACATACCCTGTGGCCCGCATATACTACCGCTGTGATATAATAGCTTGTGCTTGTGGATCCAATTGGCATGTTAAAACTAGTCTGGGTAGGGGGTTGATCAGGGACGAGACATTTGGAGGAGGCTTCATGTCAGAGTCTCTCCCTGGAGTCTTCAGTCCTGAACCAATGACAGATGTGTTGGAAGTAATTTACTTCAGGCAGTGCTCAAACTATAATTGTAAATCTGTTTTTCACAAAGAGCCAAGCCTAGAAGCCTAATAACAAAGACTCAAAATTCAACATTGACACTTTTTAAAAATCATGATTAGTATTATTATTAGTAGTATTATAAGCTCTTAATCACAAAATGTTATAATATAGTTATGTAGGTGTATGCAATATATTTGTCAAATCTAAATCACATTTTAAGCAGCCATACTCTTAGCCATTGCCGTCATTAGTCCTAAATGTTGTGTACTGTAGATAATGAACTGGGTCTGTCCAAACACACACACACACATACACACTGGATGTATGCTCTTATCAGTGTTTTGCACATGGTAGGCCGGGATATTCACTGTTAGCTAAGGCATTTATTCAAATTATTTCAATTGTATCTTGATGTTACACACATGCCTCATAAAATACATTTATTTGAAAACTATAAAACTGACAGCTGCTGAATATCTAATCTTTTCTCTGTTCATTTCATTGATGTACAGACTGCTTCATGATGGCACCACAGAGGACAAATGAGGGGGAAAAAGATGATAATTTAGTATCAATACTGCTAGAGAGCCTGTTTTTTGTTTTTTTTGCCATGTCACATTTCTGCAAGTGCCTTTTTTCCAATAATTAGTATTTTAAATGGGTCTGTCATTTTGTTTCTGATAGTTTCTTTGTTTCAGACATTATGGGTTCCCTGTCATTACAGGTTTTTAATTTCCTTTTATTTGGCAAATCAATTTCCCTGCTTTTCACAGTCAGTGCTATAAAAGCTAGGATGAAGTAATCTCCTTATTCTCTACTGCCTTTGTTGATGTTGAATGGACCGATACTGTTTCTATGAATATGTTAGTTATTGCTGATGATCCTTGCTCTGTTAAATAGTATTCTTTTCTTCATGTATCCATTCATCATTTTTTATGAACTCATTTTGAAAGAGTATGTACACTGTAAAAATACAGATCGGGTGTGTTCACCTGAAGGTGACTCAGTTTTTGCAAGGTTTTTATTTATTGTATTTTTTTCAAGGAATGACTCATTTTCATACATATTGGGGGAGAAGAGGGCACTTTCAAAAATTGATATTCCAGGGAGCACTCAAGCAGATTTGGAGAGGCTCAGATTTCTGGTTAGTTGCTCATGTGTTGTTCTGTTTTTACAGACAATTACCTCACATTATAACAGTGGCTCAGGCAATGACGGCCACACTGCAAAAAATGCTTTTCTTACTTAGATTTTTGTCTTTTTTTATTTTTTTAAAAACAAGTCAAAATTAAGTGAGTTTTTGCATGAAACAAACAAAATAATCTGCCAATGGGGTAAGCAAAATAATATTGTTTTCTGTTTGAAACAAGATTATTTTGCTTGTTCTAAGCAAAAACTCACTTAATTTTTAATAGTTTTTTTTCTTCTGAAAACAAGACAATAATTTTTACTTGTCTAGAAAATCCTTCTTGATTTAAGAATTGTTCGATATTTTGGCTGGAGACAAGACAAAACATCTAAGAAGGAAAAGCATTTTTTGCAGTGCAGCCAGAACCATTCCAACCTCTTGTTTATTATTCAAGTCAAATGAACAAAGCACTTGAGGATATATCCAATATTCAATACGCTTAACAGAACATAGTCAACGTAGAACAGCATTAACTTTTCAGAAATGTGTTGCACCATGGCATATTACATGACAAAAATATGGCTCATTTTTAAACTAGTAATTTAAAGTATAATGAATTAGCATTTGCAGTTGCTTTTTTTTTTGGATGGTTCCCTGCATGATAATCTGGTGTTTTGGTTGGCCCAGATTGTGGTGTGGCAGTAAAAACCAACACTAGACCTCTGTAACATCTTATAGAAACTGCAACCAGTGTACCAGTGTAACCACTAATCATTTAGTGTTGTTTAGTGTGCAGTCCACTTAACATTAATTAAAAATAAATTATGTTGCAACAACAAAAATTAAAACAAGCCTCAAGAAGCTGTGGTCAAAAACCTGTTCTAAATACACTGTAAACCATAGCTTCACTGGGCTTATTGCCTTTTTTTTACATTTACCACACTATACATGTATTAAAGGCAAAATATATGCATGAATATGTTACTTGGTTTAAAAGTTAAATCATTAAATGCTGTCCTTCCTCTAGATAAATGTGAGATTCTGCAGTGTCAATAGAATGTTCCTATAGGTGTAATAGTTTAAAACAGAGACTGGAACCCATACATCCGCTCAACAGAGCAGACCCAAACCAGACCCATTCGAAGTGTCATTAAACAGTGCAATTCATTGAACATATGACACTGTTCCTGAAACAGAAATCTCTTGAATAATACTCCCTCCACACTTCAGAAGCTGTGGGTTTCCACACACACACAAGCTTATATCCATGTTTCTCCCGTGTGAGAAGAGTTTCTTTGATGGAGGAAGGGTGTGGTCTCAAAATTAAAGGAGTAGTTCATTCCAGAATACAAATGTCCTGATAGTTTACTCACCCCCATGTCATCCAAAATGTATTTCTTTCTTCAGTCCCAAAGAAATTAAGGTATTTGAGGAAAACGTTCCAGGATTTTTCTCCATATAGAGGACTTCAATGGCAGCCAATGGGTTGAAGGTCCAAATTCAGTTTCAGTGCAGCTTCAAAGGGCTCTACACGATCCCAGCTGAGGAATAAGGGTATCTAGTGAAACAATTGGTCATTTTCTCAAATAATATATATATACTGGGTATGCTGAGTGATAAGGTTAAAACTCCCACCCGGGTGACACTACTCCAATAACAGACCATGCAAAATACGCAAAATAATAATTCTTTAAAATATTGCCAAGTAACGTTGCAATATTTCAAACAACAATAAAATCAGAGAAGGACTTGTAAGCGACACAAGCATACGGAAAACAAAGGTAAAACTACAATCTTCAGAATGTGCAAAATCTTTTGAGGATTTTA